TCGTGGGGTTCTCGCCCGCGTATGCGGCCCAACCAAAGATCTTACGGGGCCCTCTTGAGGCCACGCTGCTTCTGCTGGACCGCAACCTGCCAACAAGAGGAGCAAAACCGTGGAGGAGGGGGAGGAGGGGAAGGAGGAGGAGGAGGAGGAGGAGGAGGAGGAGGAGCAGGAGGAGGAGGAGGAGGGAGGAGGGAGGAGGAGGAGGGAGGAGGAGGAGGAGGAGGAGCAGGAGGAGGAGGAGGAGGAGGGCTCTGGCCCTTTGGGCGCCCCTCTCCTCGCCTTCGGGGCCGCGTTTTGGGGGGGCCCGAGTCTGGGGGCAGAGCGGCTCGGGCGCGCGGGGCTCTCTCGTCGGTCACTCTTTCAGGCGCCTCGATCCTCTGGTCAGAGGGGCCCTCTGTTGCTGCACCCCTCGCGGGAGCTGTCCCATCCGTCCCTGGAGGTGCGCTCCGGTGCTCATGAGGCCAAGGTCAAGGTCAAGCCTGTACAGTCGGGGCGTTGACCTAAGGAACGAGGCCCCTTGATCCCAAAAGTTAAGCTTGGATTTCCCATCGAAAACCTCAGGAAAACACAAGCCAAACTGTAAAACAATCAAGGAACACCGAGCCCCTCCCCAACGAGAAGGGTTCCTTCTTCAGCGCCCTGACTGTATGCCCACAAGGGGCGGCCACGTAGGGCACGGGCGAGGAAAACACTGCAGGGCTCTGCGGCTGGCGCTGCTCACAGTCGAGCCAAGCGCAGAGATGGCATCGGCGCATTGGCAAACCACAAGTTATGAACGTGACCGGAGACACCAGCAATAGCCCCGGACTCGGGCAGGAAAGGACAAGTGCACTGGGGCGGAAATCCGGTGCCTTATGAATATCGTTTCACCGATCCCCATCCCAGGCGGCGTGGCCTGGGCCCCACTGGCGCCGATATACACCCCTGGATGGGGATATAGGTCGTTCACTCGGGGTTTCGAGGCGTGTATCCCCAACTGGGGTGGTAATTTGGTGGGGGTCTCGAAGGGGATGGGGATGGGGATGGGGATGGGGATCGGTTAAACGATACCGAGCTTGGAGGTTGCCATCAGATACAACATTGGCGTGCTCGCTTATGTTACCGATAACCGTGCAATGTATGAGGGCTGGCATGCTAAAGCTCATCGTGATCCTCAGGGAGCTCGTGGGCCCGTCTGGGGAGATATCGAAGGCTCCTCGAGGCCAGAGACCCCACTGTCATTGCAGTGTGTTGGGCACCTTCACACCTTGAAGCAAATGAAGGCTGCAGGCAGGGTGTGCCGCTTCATTTTCTGCTCGGCAATGCTGTCGCCGACGTTATCGCTGGAGAGGCTGCCATGTCTGCCAGGGTCGATGAGAGACAGCGTGCGAGGATATTGAACATCGAAAGGAAAGCTGCCCTGGTGAGGAGAAGACTTATGAGAGCGCAGTTGGAAACCATGGCGAGCCATCCCACTCCGCTTGAGCGTTCTCTCCCACAGGTTTCCGAAGGCGACGCACCTCCCCCATCCACCTCCTCCCCCCCTTAGCGGCCGCCATCGGCCGCAGCAGTTGCAGTCTTCAGCACCGTGCACTGCCTGGACGACACAGGCGCGCGGTGCTCTCGTTGCTTCTCTTCGTCGTCCAAGGCCGCCAAGGCCGATTGGCTGAGATCCAGTTGTGAGGCTCCGTATCCTGCCAATGACGTGATGTCACGTCCTTCCGTGGGGTGTGGTGTCCACGTCGGCGGGTGATGGGTCCATGGGTCTCACGCTGTGGTTTACTCCAAGGATTGTGGGGCCAGCGGCAAGGACCAGCTCAAATCCCTTGCAGGTCAGTGTCTCCCCATCGGATCACTCGCACAGGTCGGGACTCTATCGATCGGTTCTTCCGAGGCCTCCCAACCGAAGGATACAGGCTTGAGGTGAGGTCTTTCTGGTGTTGCGTCGCAGCTGTTATGATTCCTGATTACTCGTCCAAGGGGGGCGAACGAACGACGAACGAGCGGCAACCGAAACTTGGCCAGACGAAAGACCCAATCATATACAGCTGCGAGCAACGCAGGGAACGATCGCGCATGGAGGCAGCGAAACATGTGAGGGGTGTGCCGAAGTGGGGGTGGAACCGCATGCGAGCGCAGCCACTGGGGCCGTCGGCGGAGCTCCCTACGGGGCCACGAGAGGTGTGAGAGGGGTGTGCCGAAGTGATGGAGGAACCGCATGCGAACGCGGCCGCTTGGGCCGTCGGTGGAACTCCCGAGGGGGCCACGACACGTGTGAGGGGTGTGCCGAAATGGCTGTGCGTGGCGCATGCGGGCGGTGGCGCTGGGGCCTTCGGTGGAGCTCCCTGTGGGGCGACGAAACGTGTGAGGGGTGTGCCGAAATGAGCGGTAGAACCGCATGCGAACGCAGACACTGGCGCCTTCGGTGGAGCTCTGAAGCTCCTATAAGACTTCGAAACGTGCGAGGGTGTGCCGAAATGAAAGGTGAAACCGCATGCAAACGCGGCCACTGAGACTTTCGGCAAAACTCCCTATGGGGCCACGAAACGTGTGAGGGGTGTGTCGACATGGGGGTGGAACCGCATGCGAGCGCAACCACTGGGGCCTTCGGTGAAGCTCCCTATGGGGCCACGAAACGTGTGAGAGGTGTGCCGAAATGATGGGGGAACCGCATGCGAACGCAGCCACTTGGGCCTTCGGTGGAGCTCCCGATGGGGCCACGACACGAATGAGGGGTGCGCCGAAATGGCTGTGCGTGACGCATGTGGGCGGTGGCACTGGGGCCTTCGGTGGAGCTCCCTATGGGTGCACGAAACGTGTGAGGGGTGGAACCGCATGCAAACGCAGCCACTGGAGCCTTCGGTGGAACCCCCTATGGGGCCACGACACGTGTGAGGGGTGTGCCGAAATGGGAGATGGAACCGCATGCGAACGCAACCACTGGGGCCGTCGCGGGAGCTTCCTATGGGGCCACGAAACGTGTGAGCGGTGTGCTGAGATTGGGGGGGAACCGCATGCGAACGCAGCCACTGGGGCCTTCGGTGGAGCTCCCTATGGGGCCACGAGACGTGTGAGGGGTGTGCCGAAGTGGGGGTGGAACAGCGTGCGAACGCAGCCAATGGGGCCTTCGGTGAAGCTCCCTAATGATGGGGCCACGAAACGTGTGAGCGGTGTGCTGAGATGGCGGGTGAAACCGCATGCGAACGCAGCCACTGGGGCCTTCGGTGGAGCTCCCTATGGGGCCACAAAACGTGTGAGGGGTGTGCTGAGACGGTGGGGTGGAACAGCATGCGAACGCAGCCACTGGGGCCTTCGATGGAGCTCCCCACGGGGCCACGAAGCATTGCACTTGGTGCGCCGAAACACAGACATGCGGAGGGCAGAGGCAAGGAGGGGGAGGAGGGAGGGAGGGGAGGAGGAAGGAAGCAGGAGGGAGGAAGGAGAACGCGGGGCGCTGCCTCTTCGAAACGGGGACCCAGCACCCAGGGATGGTTGGGAGCAGAAAATGGCCCGAGCTCCAGAGCACAGCCGTGCAGGAGGAGGGGGAGGCCCGAGCTCCAGAGCGCAGCGGGCGAGGCCAGGGGGGGCCCAGGGGAGAGAGCGAGCGAGAGGGCCAGGAAGGCCAGGGGGGGGGGGGGGGAGCGCGAGGCGGGCGGGATCCCGGGCAAGCGCCAGGGGGGGAGGGGGGGGGGGGTGCGGGTCCAGGGCGAGCGCCAGGGGGAAGCCAGAGAGGCCAAGGGGCCAAGGGGCAGGCCAGAGGGGCCCGGGGGGCGGGGGGCGAGGGGGGCGGGGTCCAGGGCAGAAGGCAGGGGGAGGGCTGGGTCCCGAGCAAGGCCAGGGGGGAGGACGCACGACGAAAGACCGAACGACGACGACGGACGGAAACGAGAAGGCCCGAGCTCTAGAACACAGCGGGCAAGTTCAGGGGGCCAGGGGGGGCGACGAACGACGAACGAACGACGACGACGAAAGTAAAGAAGTCAGAGCTCTGGGACGAAACTGTGCAGGATAATAAAAAATAGATGGTTGCGAGGTGGCCGGCCCCCAGTCCGGGGAGGCGCTATTCATGTTAGATGTATTCATCTGTATATAAAGATACTAGAAACATCGCGCGCGCTTCGCGCGCGCTCAAGTTCTAGCTAGGCCTGCCAGGCTAAATCATGGAATATCAATTGTGTCGCTTCTTGCATCAAAGGACTCTCTTGGAGGCCCTGCGCAAGCCTCGGAACCGTATAGGAAGGGAACTACGGGAACGCGGGAATCATGAATTTCCGTTAGGTATTCAGCGATTTGGGGCCCTCAAAGGCTTCCTGGTTTCTTCTATGGGAGCTGAGGGGGCTTAATTGTGGTCTGTTGTGCAAGAGTAAACAGGGGGCGAACTTGGAAAAAAATAATGGGATTTCCATCGTTTTTCAAGTTGCCGTGCCTAGGCTGTGGGACAGAAATTTTCTGGATACAGGCCACAGTCCGTTGGGGTGTCTCACGGGATCTTCGTGTGAAATAAAAGGAATGTAGGTATTTCAACTCATGGGGTGATAGGGATCTCGATTTCTACAGTGATTTCAGGGGCAGCCAAAAGGACGCGAAGACGATCCAAGAGAGTGGTAAGACAGCGTCACAACAATATTGCCGAAACATATTTGCATGTGACTCCGAAGTCTTGGTGGGGCTCGAGGAATAGGACAGGGAGCAGGAGCCCCAACCTGAAAAAGAAGGGAATCTCTGGAATCATTTGTTTCTCAAACTCCTCGGTCTTGGAGCGTTGGGCGGGCGGCTGAGCGATCGAAGCGCCCGTGGCATCAAGCGCCGCCACCTCCCTCCCCCCCTCCTTCCTGGGGTCTCCGCGGGCCCCAGGCGGCCCCCAAAAGTGCCAAAAACGTCACAAAGTTGGATCCTCGTCAAGTCCCTCCTCCTGGAGGCCCCTGCAAGGGCCAAGAGCGTCCAAAAGCTAGATCCTCTCCTAAGTCCTCCATCTCTCCCTACCCCCTCTGCGTGAGAGATCCTACGGGCGGGCAGGGCGCCTTCTTCCGAGTCGAAGGCCACGCACCCCACACCAGGGTACAACACCTGCGGCCGGGTGCCGCGGTAAAAACAAGCCAAGACGGGGAGGGATGGCGGCGGTCCACATCAGCCTCCTCCTCCTCCTCCTCCTCGTCCTCCTCCTCCTCCTCCTCCTCCTCCTCCCCTCCTCCTCCTCCTCCTCCTCCTCCTCCTCGTCTCACTCCTCCTCCTCTCCTCCTGCTGCTTCTCCTCCTCCTCCTCCTCCTCCTCCTTCTCCTCCTCCTCCTCCCCTCCCCCTCCCCCTCCCCCTCCTCCTTCCTCCTCCTCCTCCTCCTCCTCCTCCTCCTCCTCCTCCTCCTCCTCTTTTTTTTGAATGCAACATTCATGCCTCTGAAAGTGACAGCTTGCACCGACAGCCAGAGGCGCACTGAGGGCAAAGCGAATTACCTGTAATTACAATAGCGGGATGAATTCGTCGATATCGACAGAAATACCCCTCTTATCGAGGTGCAGTCCTTTCCGGAGCCGTCTCAAGTTTCTGAAACCAGTCTCCGTGGGGGGCCCGCACTTACGGGACAAACCAAGGACCTTCTCACCGCTAGAAAAAAACTTGCACGACATGCACAAGTACAGGTGGCCCTTGTCACTGCAAGGGAAGGCAATGACACGATGGCCTAATCTCTCCAACAGACCCTGGTCCAAACGGGATTGCCCAGGGCACGTTCCTCCCAGCGGCTTAGCCTTCGCACGGGAACCGCGAAGACACACACGACACCGCCAGGAGGAACCTTGTTGGGACCAGTCGTGGACGAGCTCTAAAAGAGGAGCCTTCGAGTCGGGCGGCGAATGGAAGCGCAACAGACCACGAAACTCCAACTTCGGCCAAAGTGGCAAGAGCTCTGCTCCCGCAAACAAGATCGCCCTTGAGACAAGAATCTGATGATCGAGGGCTTCCTGCTCCGTCGGGGACATGGCAGGGTGCTGCTTCGCACCCTCCTTCGCATAGACGTCAGCGAAGAAGTTCCCTTTTCGCACGAATCTTTCATGCGAGGAGAGCCCATCCTCGTCCGCATCTTTGTGGGCCTCAACCTTATCTAAGGAGATTAGGTTGGAGCCAAAGTAATGTCTAGCCTGAATGACCTGGCCAGCGTACTGACGCCTCCTCCTCCCTCCTCCTCCTCCTCCTCCTCCATTCCTTCTCCTTGTGGGTAACTCCTCCACACCCCAAAGCCAGTTTTTAGGGCGGGGCGGGCGTTTCGCCCGAGTCTCCACCACTCATGACCCTGAAGCTTAAGAAGTGGCAACAGCTTCTCAGATGGAGGGCGGGTCGTTTTCACTTTGTGGCTCTCGCCTGAGCGCCGCGCACATTCGTTTGAAACATTTGCAAGAGCTTCACGGATTGAGGGCGGGTGGTTTCCAAAATGTGGTTCCCGCCTGAGCGCCGCGCACACTCAGTTGAAACATGTGCAAGGGTTTCACGGCTTGAGGGCGGGTGATTTTCAAAATGTGGCTCTCGCCTGAGCGCCGTGCGCATTGGCAAGAGCTTCACGGATTGCGAGCGGGTCGTTTTCACAAGGGGTTCTCGCCTGAGCGCCGCGCATACTCGTCTGTTCAAGTTGCAAGATCTGGACGGGATGAGGGCGGATCGTTTTCAAAATGTGGCTCTCGCCTGAGCGCCGCGCACATTCGTTTTCATAAAAATTGCAAGAGCTTCACGGATTGATGGCGGGACGCTTTCAAAATGTGGCGCTCGCATTAGCGCCGCGCACATTCGTTGTTTAACATTCCCATGATCAGCGTACCCCAACGATTAGGGTTTTAAACATTCGTGCAAGGGTTTTAACGATTCCCATGATCAGCGTCCCAGAAACTGTGTTGGAAGGATTCACGATTATGCAGGCGCAACAGTTATGTTGACTGGCTGCGTTGAAGTAAATGGAGTTATGGCACGATTCTGGATCGTTAAGACCCAGCAATCATGTTCATACGTGGCGTTGAAATCCCGAGAACCATGTTTTGGCACGCTTCAGGATCTTCAAACTGTATCTTCCAGCAAGGCAGCGAACGAACCGTTGTAGGGGCATATGAAGGGGGAGCTTGGAGAGAGGGTTGATTCCAACATCGTTGATGACTCGTGGGTTTCCACTGGTCCTCCTCCTCGTCCTCCTCCTGCTCCTCCTCCTCCTCGTCCTCCTCCTCCTCCTCCCCCTCCTCCCCCTCCTCCTCCTCCTCCTCCTCCTCCTCCTCCTCCTGCTCATCCTCGTCCTCCTCCTCCTCGTCCTCCTCGTCCTCCTCCTCTTCCTTCTTGTCCTCCTCCCTCATCTTCGTTCGTAGTATGCTTCTTAGTATTGGCATTCGTTTTCTTAGTATGTCCCTTCTTATTACGGTCAGGGGGGTTCGTTTAGCGTGTATCCTGAGGGTCGGTGGATACGCGCTAAACGAGTCCGGCGTTTAGCGTGTACCTTTTAGCTCGCTGTTTAGCGTGTACCTACGAATGCTCGTCGGTTCGTTTAGCGTGTACCTACGAATACTCGTCGATTTCGTTTAGCGTGTACCTCTGTGCCTCGCCGGGTTTCCAGTGAGGCCCAGGACGACAAAGGTAAGAGGCCCAAGAGGCCGCCAAGACGGCCCAGGATGGCACGGATTGCTGCCCAACACGTCCCAAAAGGGACCCAAGAGCGCCAGAGACAGCACAAGAAGGCCCACAAGGAGGCCCACCGTGACCCAGGAGTGCACCCGCCAGGTGGGGTGGGGGGGGGGGCAGGAGGGGAGGGGTGGCGAAAGGCAGGCCGCGCTGCAGGAGGGGCGGGAGGCGGCAGCTACACGCAATACTGACCGCAGCTCCAGCAGGGGGGGCAGGACGGCCCAGGGCTCCAAGAGGTGACGTCAAGAGGGCCCCAGAGGATTCCAAGGCAAGCCAGGATGGCTCCAAGAGCAGCCCAGGACGGCCCAAGAACGCGCACGAGCACCCCAAAGGAAGCCCAACAGTGCAGAAGGCACAAGTCTCCAGCAAGACAGCCCCGATTATTGCCGAAAAACCCATAAAGTGCCCCAAGAGTGCCCAAGATATGTAGCCCAAGAGGGCCTTCAGGGAGGCCTACCGCGATCCAGGAGAGCACCTGCCAGGTGGGGGGTGGCCGGGAGGGGAGGGGTGGGGGGCGCTGCAAGAGGGGCGGGGGGCAGGTACACGCTATACTGGCTCTAACTCCAGCAGGAAGTGCAAGGCGGCTCAGGGCTCCATGAGGTGCCTTAAGAAGACCCCAGGATGGCTCCAAGATCAGGCCAGGACGACCCAAGAGGGCCCCCGAGCACCTCAACGAAGGCCCACCAAGGTTTCCAGAGAGGCCTACGTAGGACGACCCAAAGGAGGAAGCCCAAAAGACCGCCACCGCGACCCAGGAGAGCACCCGTCAGGTGGGGAGGCCAGGAGGGGAGGGGTGGGGAAGAGCAGGCGCGCGCTGCAGGAGGGGCGGGGGACAGATACGCACCGTTTTTCTTTGCAAACCGTCCGAACATTTACGGACGGACGTGGCGGTCGAAACCAATCGAAAACCAGTTGTACAATCAAGGGGTCGGGAATCCAGAGCACCCTCCAAGTAGATGAGGGGCGTGGGAGGGCAGTGGCCGGGAGGGGCACACGCATGGACGGGGGGAAGGGGTACACGCTAAACTGGCCCCAGCGTTTAGCGTGTACCTCCCCTGGTGGTTATCAGTGGTGCGTTTAGCGTGTATCTGGCTCGCTGAATTCGTTTAGCGTGTACCTGGCATACCGGGTCCGGCAGGGCTACGATACACGCTAAACGAAACCCCCTGACCGAATTATGCAACTAGTAGTAGCATTATGTTTATTGTCACTGGGTTTTATAATAATAGTAGTAGTAGTAGTAGCAGTAGTGATAGTAGTAGTAGTCGTCGTAGTAGTAGTAGCAGCAGCAGCAACAGCAGTAGTAGTAGTAGTAGTAGTAGTAGTAGTAGTAGTAGTAGTAGTAGTAGTAGTAGTAGTAGTAGTAAGTAAAGTAGTAGTAGTAGTAGTAGTAGTAGTAGTAGTAGTAGTAGTAGTAGTAGTAGTAGTAGTAGTAGCGTAGTAGTAGTAGTAGTCGTAGTAGTAGTCGTAGTAGTAGTAGTATATAGTAGTAGTAGTAGTAGTAGTAGTGTAGTAGTAGTACGTAGTAGTAAGTAGTAGTAGTTAGTAGTAGTAGTAGTAGTAGTAGTAAGAATAGTGAGTAGTAGTAGCAGCAGTACTAGTAGTAAGAGTAGTAGTAGTAGTAGTAGTAGTAGTAGTAGTAGTAGTAGTACGATGAGTAGTAGTAGTAGTATGAATAGTCTTATTACTACTACTATTAGAATTATTTGTCTGCTGTTGCTTTGTCTGCTTAGCATTATTCGTCGTCTTCTCCTTTTTATTTTTCTTCCTCCTCCTCCTCCGCCTCCTCCTCCTCTACTCCTCCTCCTCTTCCCCCTCCGCCTCCTCCCCCCCCCTCCCTCCTCCTCCTCCGCCTCCTCTCCTCCTCCTCCTCTTTCCTCCTCCTCCTCCTCCTCCTCCTCCTCCGCCTCCTCCCTCCGCTCCTCCTCCCTCCTCCTCCTCCTCCTCTCCTCCTCCTCCTCCTCCTCCTCCTCCGCCTCCTCCTCCGCCTCCTCCTCCTCCTCCTCCTCCTCCTCCTCCTCCTCCTCCTCCCTCCCTCCCTCCCCTCCCTCCCCCCTCCCTCCCTCCCATCCCTCCCCTCCCTCCCCTCCCTCCCTCCCTCCCTCCCTCCCTCCTCCCCCTCCTCCTCCCCCTCATCATCCTCCGCTTCTTCTTATTCGTTTTCTTCTTCTTCTTGGTCTTCTGCTTCGCCTTATTATTAGTCTTATGTTTCTTATTATGATTCGTAGTATTCCTATTATTCGTCATAGTATTCTTCTTATGATTAGTATTCTTAGTATTCTTAGTATTATTATTCTTATACTTTTTGTTCTTCATATTCTTATTATCATTATTATTAGCATGATTCGTCTTATTCGTCGTCTGATTGATCATATTATTATAGTATTACTTTTAATATTATTATGATGATTTTCATTATTAT